GTCAGGAGTTGGAGACCAGCCTGAGCAATATGGTGAGACCCCGTACCTACAAACTATTCTTAAAAATTAGCCAGGCCTGTAGTCCCAGCTACTCAGGAGGTTGGAGGACCCCTTGAGCCCAGGAGTTCATCGGTACAGTAAGCCAAGTTTGAAGATACAGTGAGGGTACAATTGCACCACTGCACTCCAGCCGGGGTGGCAGATCAAGACTCTGTCTCAAAAAACAAAAACAAACAAAAAACCAAAGGCTAAAATCATCTCTCAAGGAAAAGAAAAATAGAGACCATAAGCATTTTGCACAGTTGCATAAAACCCACTGGATCAGAATTATCTGTGGAATAGCCCAAAAAACTTCCAAAAAATAATTTCTGAACTGCCCACAGAGATGTCCCCCTGCTCCCCTGCTAAGAATCAGACCAGTACAGTGGAGAGTAGCACACCAGCTATATTTCCTACCCAGCTTAACAGGCAGGTACCCAAAAATCAATTTCCCATGTTTTCCTTTAATGACTAAAATTAGCTTCAATGGAAATGTAAGAGTAAACTAGATGAGAGGGAGTTTTTAACAATTACCCTGGCTAAACAAACACCTAAACAACAGTCTGCAAACTGGAAGACCAGTGGATACATTTTATTGAAACTACGAACATGAAACAAAACACTTCCAGTTTAAACACGACCCCGGTTATTTCACAGCCATGTAATTATTTGTTAAGTCTGATATTAAAAACATCTCATATTGGATTGCTGTGGTTTTGTGAATTCTCACCCTCAACTGGGTCAAAAAGACTTGAAAGGAATAAAGTCTTTACTTATGGCTCGATGCGGGGCCACTGGCATAGTATAAACGTTCTTTTAACTGGTTGAAATAAACAGACAAAACAGAAACACACACATATACCCCAAAGTTGAATCAGAGCGAGCCAGTATAGAGATGATACAAGTACCAGTTCTCTGGGCTTGCCAGATTTCTGCTCTATAAGTAATATTAAACATAGCTCTTGGTCTATGAATTGTGAAACACTTTATATACTAATAAAGAATGTGTACTTCATTGTGTATTTAACTGCATAAGCCTGCATTTGGTTTAATTGACCAAGAATAAGTCCTTGTTCCAAAACTAACTATCAAGTTACAGTCAACTCTTAAATATTAACACTCATATTGAAAAACAAAGATGCAGATAATACGAAACAGAAGATTATTTTAAATCATTCACTCTTGGTATGCGGATATATTCTTTCTTCCTTTCTTTTAACTTGCAATTAAATGCGTATGGCTAATATTACGGCATTTACAATACTTCTAACAAAGGACTTAAACCATACTGGAAAAATCTGACTTAGGGAGGTCTCTGTGCAGATCCTGTCCTCAATATTTCTGCTACTGAACTCTGGACCAACTCACGCTGGTCCAGGAGGGCATCCATCACCTCTCAGAAGACTGACAAAAAATTGCTACACAAACTACATTTTTTCCAGATTGTTACTTTTCAGAGTCACACTCTGTGGAGGGCGGGAAAGTAATTAAGGGTTTAGGGTTGAAAAGCCCTTTCATTTTAGCTCCTACTGGGTTGGTGTAAACAAAGATGCCATTAATGTCAACAATGACTTAATTAACCAGAGTAGGTGACAATGTCAGGAAGAACTTGAAAGTAAGAGTTGCCCCCTCTCAGAGCAATCAAGCTTGACTATACTTCAAATATTTATAATGTTAATCAACAGAATAGTACTTGGCATTGAGGACTGCCCCCCTTCGAGTCAACCATGTTTTCACTCCTCTGCTGGTCCCCTATAACAACGAATGGCCAAAAGGAAATTAACAATGAATGACCAATTGGAAAACTCATATTTAATCTGAAATATTAAAAACTAAAATCTTCTAGAGATTATTTTCTTAAGTCAACTGAGTGGACCCAACTCTACTGCTACTACTTCAGAAAGGGTCCAAAAGACAAATGATATATACGATATATGATATATATGACATATGATATGATATGATATGATATGACATGACATTGTACAAAGCCAAGATGACTAACCATATCCTTTCCCTGAGGGGCCAAAAGAAAAGGACCCTCTAGTGTTAGGGCCCAGGCTTCTTCCTGGAACTTCTCAGTCACATTTTTCTACTATTCAATAGACATTATCTAAACTGAGCTTCCAAATAAATTAGCAAACCAAGAAGTCTTACAAGATAAGACCTTGGTGCGCTGAAGGTCAAGGTGGAACTTACTGCTAACCAAGCTATAGTCGTTCTAACCATGGAGAACTGATGGACAGGGGCACAGGCACACACGCACGCGCACGCGCACACACACACACTCTCTCTCTCTCTCTCTCCAATTCGCCAGCACAGAGCCTAAACCTGAGCCCATTTTCCGTTGTTAAAAACTTCCGTTCTCATCTGTAATTCAATGACCTTCCTAATCACCTCTGACACCAAAGCAGAACTCCTACAACAGAAGAACTGGTCTTAAGGCTCAAATCAGTGGCCAGTATTAGACTAACAGATGAGGGGAAGTGGGGACCCCACAGAAAGCAAACACAGCTTCCTGGAAACACCAAGTCCCCCTCCATCCAAAAACAACTTTCTTCTCAACTGTCTCCAAAAGCCTAGATGTTTTTTGACCTTGTGGCACCTGGCACAGCCAGCCCACGGGACTGGGAAGACCCATGTTCCCAGCTCACTGGCGACAATGGTGACAAAGCCATGCACCCAATGCTTACTGGATGCCAGCCCCTGTGCTAATTGCTCTTTAAGTTCAGGTCAAATGGAAATCTCCTAACAACCTTTTGGTGGAAGAGTCAGAAGACTTCTGAGGACATTAATATTCAATGACTATTAATGAAGAGACCCTAAAAATCATCTTTTCAAGCCCTCAGATGACAGAATAGGAAACTGAGGCCCGGGACTTGTATGCTTGTCCAAAGCCGCCTCTTTGTCAGGTTTTGCACCTTCCTCTAAGACATCTTTTCTTTTCCATCTCATAATTCTCGATGCAAATGAACTCATAGCTCATGGAAACTATGAACCCATAAAACTGCACAAAAGGACATTAACAAAATATTACCTAAAACTTCCAGAACTTCATGGACCTCCTTCCTGATCCATAAGTGCATCGACAGCTCCCAGGTTGAGCAGGCCTGCTTCCAACAATACCCACATTGTTGGATTTAAATTCTTACACAAAGACTCTTTTGGGGAACTTCGTCCCTTTCCACTATTTCTTCCCTCTGCCTCACCTGTCCCTCCCTGCATGTATACACAATTTTAAACTTCCTTCAAGAATTAAATATAGTAAAACAAATCCTCCGGGACCATTTTACACTTTATGTTGAAATAAACTCACAATAACGCTGCTCTGAAAAGCCAAATGAAAAATGACAGTTTTTCCCTAACCTGGGTTGCTCCTAAAGCCCACACTGTAGGAAATCCCAGCTCAAGCTTCCTCAGTTTTTGCTGAGCCACGCACTTAAGGGAAAACCAGCTATTACAGAAACATCCATTTTAATTATTAGCAAAATTAAAGAAGTACAGGCATGACTTTCAGAAACCAGGAACTTTTTCCCTCTTACATGAAAGCCCTGTAAAAATGCATCACCACTGCAAATTACATTCATCCTGGTGTCCCAGCATAAGTTACCAAGAGGCAGTTCCATAACTGGCCAGTAGCTGTAGCTATACAAGCCTCAGACACAAACTCCTACCACATTGGGAGATGTCACCACACCCGTTAATTATAGAGCTGCCATCCCTCTGTGTAACAGAAAGTTCCCCAGTCTCACACGATTGCTTCAGGTGATAAGTGCTCCGGTCCTCATCCTTCAATGACACATGCCCGGGGTCTTCCTGGGGAGCCCATGTCTCTCAGAACTCTCATCTCAGATGGACACAACCCTCCTTCCTAAATTGTCCTGATCCGGCTAAGGAGGCTGGGCTCTCTGTCCTCTCCCAGCCTACCCCACTGGGTAAGTGTGCTGTATATTCACCCCACGCACAGGATGTGTTCCCAGAGCAGCTCAGCTTATCCCAGACACCATTCGGACTGCTGCGGGTTCCTAAAGCCAGGCAGGCACCAGGTGGGCTCTCTGCAAACAGGTTCATTAAGTGGCGATGAGTGCTGGGATCTGCCGTTTTATTCTCGGATTACCACTCAAAAAATAACTCAGCTACCAATATTCCCTACTGATGACAGATTTCAATGCAGCACCAAGTAGAGGCTTGGCTCACGTTGTCTCCAAAGGGCTGGGAGAGAGGTTCCAAATTTGCTAAGCTGAATAATTCAGCCTCATGTAGTCCTCACAACTGGACTTACACCTTGAAAATTAAATTTCCAAAGCTGTGACACCAGTGCATGCCCTATGATACTTGGAGGTTCTCAGCTGGAGGAGATCCCCTGGCACATTCACTTTCAAGTTTACCTAAAATAGAATCTGCCACTTTGTGATGATGCATTGCTTAAGTATTAGGAATTACAATGGCTAAAAAAAAAATTCTGAGATGTCAAGCCTCTCTCTCTGCGCTAAACTTCAGTACCTTCTTTTCTCCTTAAACAATGAAAATAAGACATCAGCATTTCAGACGCTGGCAATTTCTTTTAGTGGTTCCTTTTGTCAGAAAATAGCAATTCTTTACATTGTAAGGAGTAGGAATGCTGCTGGGGGAGACTAGAGATGACATTCATCCTCCCAAGGTTTGTCCCTTCCACAGCTCTCTCGGGCACTGGATAAAGGTGAACTCCAGCTGCCTCCCTCACCCAGCACAGAGAAACACACACAGCAAGAAACCACCAAACTATACCATTCTGCCTGCAGTGTTGCAGCAAAGGACCTTCCCTCATCAGCTCTGCCTTGTGGGGAACCAAGAGACCGCGGTCAGGTGCTCTTAGAAGCCTCATTTGCAATGCAAGGGTAGCTGCTTCTAAAACAGGCCTTAACAATCTGTCCCCAGACAAATCCCAAAACAAACTTGAAAAGTGAAATTAAATGACTTACCTTCTGGTTCTAACGTGGTATCCTCAACTAAACTGAAGGAGGGCCGGGCCAGGGACAAGGTTGCCATGGTGACCACGACCAGGCAGATGAAACGACCCCAGCTGACCATGGTTACAGTACCAATCCCCGGTCCTCTTCCATATCTCCATGTGGACGTTAATCCCATCTGCACACTTCCTCTACGGGCATGGACTGCACACGATGCCTTCAGCCTGCGGTAGGCTCAGGGACCGAGGCGCTGCCGCCGCTGCCTCCGCTGCTGCTGCTGCTGCAGTCACTAAAGGAAAGAGATTGGCGAGTCAGGGAATCTTCCCCAATGCCAAATCACTCCAGCCCAAGTGGGATAAAACCATTTTTCAGCCTCTCAACTGTGTGCAAACAGAGTTCTTTTTCATTATCTGCTAAATCCTTCCATCCTCACCTCAGAGTCCCAGGTGATTCCACCAGACCGGTCCACAGAAATGTGTTAGGCTAATCTTTTTAAAAGCATACTTTTAAGAAACAGAGATAAAACAGTAGCTACAGGACTCAGATACGTGCAGCCACTTCAGTGAGGCAACGTGTGCTCTCTTCTACTATCCACTATCGCCTCCGCCACCCTCAATGAGCAGAAGCAACATGACCTTAGTTTCAAGGGCAACTACAAAAGCAAGTTAAAAGTGCTCGGGTTGGCATAACCAACCTCATTCCCTCCTCTTAGTCCAACTGGGCTTTAGAAAGCTAAACTGTTGGAGGCGTCTGCTCACAGCTCCGCATTTCTGCTGGGCTGGAGCTGAGCAGTCTGTCCCACCCTCACTGTAGCTCTTGGGAAGAAAGGAGACCAGCAAAATCAAAAGAATCCCAGGAAGGCTACAGAAAATTCCCACCAGTTTACACTTGTCAGGATTCATTTTCAAATGGAGAAGTGTATTTCCGTCTTCCGCCAAGCAGCCACTTACGAAGAGTGAACACAACTGCAGCGCATTCAATGCAGCTGATCCAAAAAGGATTTCGAAGCCTGAATTCCCTTCCCCTGTGACTAAATGGCAGTCCAGGGCTGCTAAATGTCTTCAACCTCTGTAGAAGGGTTAGGAAACTGAGCAGATGCAAATTCTGATGAATTATGCAGGAATTTATTAATGATGATGATGTAAATTATGTAAATTTTAGTCATGGTATGTGATTGGACCAATAACTTTCAATATGCAAACCTATTGGCTAAATTTTCAGAGTATAAGTTAGAAGAGGACACTCAGCTTACTATTCTATTCACCCATTTGATCCAAGGGAAAGAGAATTTTCCAAGAAAGCTTAATACATTCCAAGCAACTTTAAATTCACTCAGTACCCTCTGTGACTAAGGGTAGAGTCAAAATACACAAACTTTAGAGAATGATTAAAACAATCACAAGAAAGGGCACATCAATCTCAGGCTTCAGATTCTGTGAACCGCAGGAATGAACCACATTTTCTAACATTGGGGGTGGAGGGAGGCCTTTAATACAAAAATTTCTAAACTCTACATTTTTTATGTACCCACTCGATGTTTCAAGTTATGACATAGGATTTCAACACTGCTGGAGCCTCCTCAAATCTTATCATAAAAACTGCTCCTTTTAGCTTTGACTGAGGAGAAAAATGGATGAGGGAAAAGAATATACCACATCATTTCCAAAGGAGGAATAAAGAAAACCTCAGCTTCAAAGATAGCACAGGTGAAACGGCATGATTCGCAGCAAAAACAAGAAATGTGTGCAGTTGTGTGTGTGCGTGCATGGTGTGTGTGTGTGCATGTGTTTTCAGATAGCTTGAAAGATTTTTCCTCCTAACTTTTCTTTCCTCTTAATCAAGAGCCTCAAAAGATAATTTCGGATCTATTTCTACACATATGTGGGAGGAAAGTACACAAACATTCTCATTGATTTACTAAGCATTTCCAGAATGCAGGGGAATTTTCTACCTCTAACACGCCTTCAGGAACAATCCTAAGTCCTCGCAGAGGTCTCGCCCTAGGCTCCTTCCCCAGCCTGCTCCCCTACCTGTCCCTAACCAGAGGAGCCTCCTTGGCTCCAGGCAGAGAAAGGTGGACAGGGCTCTCCGCTGAATCTCAAGCCATTCCATCACCCTGCTAGCTTGCACTCGAAATTTGCATTTCAGCCATTTCCAGGTCCAAGCCCCACAGCAGCCCCCTCCCCAAAACTCTGGAAGGCGGGGACCTAAGGCGACAGGTCTGCACAGTTCCTCACCCAAGTGGACAAAAGTATGGTGCGACCTCCTAGGCAGGATAATTAGGTCCCCAGGCTCGGTGTTGGGAACACAGGCCCAGCATGCCGCTGGCGGCCACAATCCCGGCTTCCTGCCTTCAATACCATAATCCTTCCTGGAGTCTGAGCCCCAGTGAAAGCCCCAGCGTGTTTATTTTTCCCCTTGAAAGGGAACTCTCTTCTCAGCCTGCACGCGGGAGGAGTTGTCACCCTCCCTCTGATGGATGGCTCTTCTCGGCCGCCCGCCCCCCCCGGTCCATTTTCACCTCGGCACAAGCCTGCCCCCAAAGACAGGCAGAGTGACAAGCAGGAAGGGCTTGGCTGCGGAGTGGTCCCCATGCCAGGCCTGTGCTGGGCTCTTCAATTTACCATGACATTCCCAAAACCCCGGCCCTCCAAGAAGGCAGATCAATACAATGCCCTCCGCTTTGGGCTTCCACCTAAGGGGTGATCTGTCGACACACTGCTGGCTCGGCCACCGGGAGCACCTGGCATTTTCTTCCTAGGTAGATTTCACATCAGGAAAGTCAACAGTGTCCGGCTCCTCCAAAGTGCAGACCCATCTGTTCGCTTAAGGCCTCCCTACTTCTCCCCAGCACTGAGTAGGAGCGGGAGCTGTCAAGGGGTCAAGTCTGGGGGGAAATTCCTCAACAAATTGAAATCTCAAAACACACACACTGACTCAGGACCACAATGCCCTCCCAGTTTAATGCTTGCGTCCAATCAGAACTTGCGAGCAGCTTGGGGGTGCTCCTCACCACCACCCCCTTTCAGGGCAGCACTTCTTTCATTTGTTTGCCTGAAATATCCTGTTTTTCTCCCCCTTCTCGGGGCGCTAAAGAGCTCAGAGAAATCTGCATTTTAATTGACATTCCAGGGAAAGGGAGAGGGGCGCCTGATTGCTTTTCTATTCAAACTAAACAGGCTTTTCAGATGAAAATGAGTCGAGCCCGGTGGAAGATTTACAGGGATTTGGGACCAGGGGGACAATGGAGTTTTAAATGTTGATAGCGTTTCACACCAAACACATAATGGGTGCCCTGAGTTTGAAAGCAGGTTTGCCTTTAAGGATAGGTTTTATTGAATTGGACGAAAAGGAGGAGGGTCTGGAGAACGATCTGCAAGGGAGTGGGGTGCGAGGAGAGCGACGGAGGCTGGTGCCCCCGGGCCGGCCTCCTGCGCCAGGTTCGCGGTCCGCGAGGGTCGGAGCCAGCGCCACGCAGGGCCCTCGGCTGATTTCCCCAGCGCGGCCCCGTCGCCGAAAGAATGAGCAAGAATGAGCGCGCAAGTTAGAACTCGCCTGCGCTTTCGACATCTCCCAGCCGCTGCGGCAGAGCAGGCAGACGAACTAGAAAAAGTCGGTCCAGTTCGCCCCCTAGCCCCAGGCGCGCTGCGCTCCCTCCAGCGCCGACGGCGGCTGTGGGCGAGGGGCGCCCCGGCACCGAAAACCGGGCACTGGAGCCGTCGCCTCCCCAACAGTGCCACCCTTGACCATCGCCACCCCTACGGGATGTCACCGGCCCCACCCCAGCGGCCCCCTCCCGAAAAACGGGTCTCCGTGGGGCCTGGATGGGACGGAAGTTCCCAGGACCCACGGATGGAGCACCTCAGAGATGCCCCCTGGGACCCGGCCTGCGGGGCTGTGCCACGGGCAGGCGAACCTTCCGCCAGTCTGCTCTGGGGTCGGAGAAACGCGCCCAGTCAGCGGGAATGCGCCCGCCAGGGTTTGACAGGGAGGGGGCGTCAACGCCAGAGGCAGATGTCAGCATCTGGATGGGGGTGGCAGAGGCAGAACTTCCCGAACACCGGCCGTCAGCACGCACCCACCTCCCCCATCACCTATGCAGCCACAGAGAGAGGACACGGAGCGCCCTCCACAATGCCAGTCCTTCTGCGCCCCCCGCCCAGAGGACTGTGCACCCGGCGTCCCGGGCTCTCCTGGCGTCCACGTCCCCGACTGGGGAAGCTCCCCGATGCGTCTTGCGCGGCGATTACCTTGAATGGCAACGCTCCTCCGCGATCTGTGTTATCCCCGCGCCCCGCGTGGGTCGGGATGGAGAAAGCGACGAGCCCGGGGTTGGGGGGAGCAACTCCAAAACGCAGAAGAGTGGTCCTTGGGTCTTCGCCGGCGCCAAGGCTCCCGGGCTTCAAGCGCACCCCAGGCTGCGGAGGAGCGCGGGCATGACGCCCGCGGGCTGCCCTCGGATTTGGGGAAGGAGAGGAAGAAAGGACTCAGGCTTGGCGTCGCCTCCACCAAACTTTGCTCGCGAGTTGCGAAGGCTCAGAGCGCGCAGGCAAGCTGCGGCCTCGGGGCCCCCGGGGCTCGCGGCCGGCCCCCGCCAGCCCGGAGAGCAGTCGCCGCGCCGGGCCAGGTACGCCGCATGCAGCCCCGCGGCGCCCGAGCTTTGTGGCGGCCGCGCGCGCTCGCTCGCCCGCTCCGCACCCGCCGCCCGCCCGCTCGGCTCTCCACCGCGTTCTCCTGCCGCCGCCGCCCGCGCCGCCGCCGCCGCCTCCGCCTCCTCGCGGCGGGTCACGCCCCCGCTGAAACCCGAGCCGTTTCCTGGACGGCGGCGCCCTCTCTGCCAATCAGCGCCGCGCGCCGGGGCCGCCCCGAGCCCCGCGCGGCTCCCGACGCCTCCGAGCAGCCAGAGACACCGGCCGGGGAGGCAAGGGCCCGGCCGCGATCCGGCCGTAGGGATGCAGCGACAGCCTCCGAATAAGGCCTGGTCCCGCGCCCCGCGCCACCTCCTCCCTCCTCCCCGGGCGAGCGAGGCTGGCCAACGGCTCGCTGAGCGGCTGCGTTACGTTGTTTTATGTCAAGTTAGAAAACAAGTGACCGAAGGCTCTAACCCTGCCCTCCCCGTAAAGAGACTTTAAAATGCGCCTTCTTGGTACCGCGGAGAGGGTTGTCAGGCAACTGAAGCTTTTGGAGGAGAGAAAGCAAATTGGAAATGTTCGCAGGACATTGCATTTTTCTGTCCTTCTAAACAATAGAAATGAGAGGAAAAAACTGAATATTAATGGAGGACCTACTATGTGAGGGTCACACTACATAGGTGATTCTATTTCGTCTCCCCAACCACCCTGCAGAGTACTATTCCCAGTTTCTGATAAGGAAACTAAGGATCAGAGAGGTTAAGTAATTTGCCTAGGATCACACAGCTGGCTACTAGGAGAGCCTGACCTTGAATGTGGCTCTCTCAGAAAAAGTCAAAAATTGCATCCAAAACCTAAAGTATATATGTTTGGATTAATAAAACGAAATTCAAAGGAGTCTAAAGACTCTACCATAAATAGCTGGACCTTGAACAAAGTAATTCCTCCCTCTGAATCTTAGATTCAAAATCATGAATGCAAAATCTGATTCTTCAACTGCACGCCAAGCTGTAACTGGTTAAAGTTCCTATTTCCATTCACCTTTTCACTAAGCCATGTCTTCAGAATAACTTATTTTAAATATGCTTTTTCTCCCTCCTTATTCATCCAGCTCCTGAGCAGTCGTGCTTAAGTTCAAGACATATAGATTAAAACCTTAATTATTTTTCTTTAGAAAAGGTCACTAAACCCAGAAATGCTTTAGAATCCTTTTGAGGCCTAAAGATAGATGAAGCATTGAGAACAAACCTGACTTGGAAAACAGACTTTTCCTGCATTTAGAAACGTATTTACACCTGTGTCACTAACATTGCACACTTCATAACATTTACAAAAATATTTTTCAAGGTGCCACATGATTAGAAAATCATTTTTATTCACAATATAGCACAGAAAACGTTTATACAAGTTACTTAAAAGCCATACAAGTAAGAAATCCATTTAACTGTCTCAGGCAAAAGGCTATAACATTGTATTTTGGAAGTCTGATAGCAACAAAATAAAAACTGGTTCTTAAGCAAAATTATCCCTCTATATGCTTGGTAGGAGGGTATGTTTTTGGTCAAGTCCTCTAACCTGGATTAGCCCATAGCCTGTACATTAACAGACACCTCAGCCCAGGTGACGCTTAGCCATTCACTCCCACCTGGGTTCTTCTGATAGCAGTATGTTTCAAGTTCTCAGAAAAGGGATGCAGCTGAACGCGTCTGCCTGCTCGCAGGCTGCCACTTACATCTTTCTATTCCCCACCAATGGGAAACTCAGTGTCTCAGGACAGATTCCATCCTGCACCGCATCCATCAGCCATTGAAAATGCTGTTAACACATTCTCACATAAATGAATGGTGCAGGAAGCCTCTGTCCCTATCCTCCATTCATCAATAGCTTTATGCATGTTGAATGGAAAGGAAGCTTTCCACTGAAAATGACAAATAAGAACACCTACTTTAATGTCCAGGCACAGTTTGCAGAATGTATTTTTTATAGAGATGAAAAGACACCAATCTGTCAAAAGCTCCTTATTCCCTAAAGAGTGCTCATTTCTAAGGGACTGAAACCCACAAGTCCACAATAGCAAACTCTTCGGTTTTGAGGGGGAAAAAAAAAAAAAGCATGTTTAGAATTATTTTTAAAAAATAATTCTGTCCCCATATTTAGTCTTCAAGTGACCTCAGACCGTCCGGGAAAACCTTCACACCAGTGAGGCTTCTGAATGAGAAAATAATCTCTTTACAGTTTTTTTTCTTTTCTCTTCCCTCTTCAAGTGGCTGGAACCCCTTTCGTCAATGGCCTCCCATGAATGGTGTTGCTAATAAAGCCTATTAATGAGCTTCCACGGCGGAGTGTGAATAGGTAAATAAGCCCCAATCTGTTGAGGTTCTGGGGCAAGGGCAGAAAAGCCAGTAAGAACTAAAGGTGACAGTTTGAACTGAACTGCGAACGCCAGCACCAGGTTTCAGCTGAAAGAACCGCCAGACAAGGACACATTCACAGTCCCTCCACCCCCTACTGAGGTCTCTTTTCTTCGCAATTTTCCCCCCTTTACAAAATGTCTTGAGTAGTCACCCTTTTTTTTTTTCAAAAGCCCTCGAGACGCCCTTCTTTTTTCACTCTAGTAATGATACATCAATGGGAAGGAAGAAAAATGAGGACACCAGAACTCCGATGCCCCCAAAAGTTTCAAGAAACAAATTGTGCTGCTAGCCCGTTGGTGATGGGAAGAGAAAGGAGAAGGGGGTGGGAACACTCACTGCCACGGGCCTCTCTCCTTTGAAGATTTGGAATTCTTCTTTTAATAATTTGTTTTGTAATGGGTGGCTGTTCCTTCACTCTAAGGAAACGTTAGATGAAAATAAAGGCTGCTGACATGAAGTGCTCATGAACCTTCCCGGGTGGATCTGAGCTCCCTGCAACACAAGGAATTTCATTCTGTAAGCCACGTCTCAATAATGCCTGCAGCATGAAAGAAGCACTCAAATGGAAGGATATAGAATAGTCAGAGGACTATGATAAGAGTATTTACTTCTGGGTAAGGGGAGAGGCTGGATCCCCTGACAGCTCCAGCCCATCTTCAGGGAGCTTGTGGCATTTAAGTGAAGCAAAATCATTGATCCCACTACTGAATAGCATCAATTATTTTAAACTTAGAACTGGGCCTGAATTCCAAAGCCGAGGCTTCCCGGGAGACAAAGTCCTTCTGGAAGTATAGCCTGTCTTTGAGGCAAAGGGGAATGGCTTTCTTAAGGTAAGGGGCTGGATGCAGCTTTCTGCACTCAATAGCTGTGTGACCTGTGGCCGGGCGTGGTGGCTCACACCTGTAATCCCAGCACTTTGGGAGGCCGAGGCAAGCGGATCACTGGAAGCCAGGAAGCCGAGACTAGGCTGACCAACATGGCGAAATGCCATCTCTACTAAAAACACAAAAATTGACCGCTTGTGGTGGTGCATGCCTGTAATCCCACATTCTCTAGAAACTAAGGCATGAGAATCCCTTGAACCCGGGAGGCAGAGGTTGCAGTGAGCTGAGATCGCCCCCTGCACTCCAGCCTGGGTGACAGAGCAAGACTCCCTCTCAAAAAACAAAACAAAACAAAAGGCCGGGCATGGAGGCTCACGCCTGTAATCCCAGCACTTTGGGAGGCCAAGGCAAGTGGATCACCCGAGGTCAGGAGTTCAAGACCAGCCAGACCAACATGGAGAAACCCCTTCTCTACTAAAAATATAAAATTAGCTGGGCACGGTGGCGCATGCCTGTAATCCCAGCTACTCAAGAGGCTGAGGCGGGAGAATCGTTCGAACCCGGGAGGCAGAGGTTGCTGTAAGCCGAGATCACCCATTGTACTCCAGCCTGGGTAACAAGAGAGAAACTCCGTCTCAAAAAAAAAAAAAAAAAACACTGTGTAACCTCAGATCAGTTGCTTAAGTTCTGTGAGTTTTCCATTTTCTCAGCTATAAAATGGGGAAAATAATGGTTCTTATCTCCTAGATCTTTAATAGGATCACTAAGAGGATTAAATGAGTTAGGACGTGACAAGCACTTAGTTTTTTGCTTTTTGTTTTTTGTTTTTAATTATACTTTAAGTTCTAGGGCACATGTGCACAATGTGCAGGTTTGTTACATGTGTATACATGACAAGCACTTCATTTAGTTTTATTTTTGTTTTTTTGTTTGTTCTTTTTTTGGTTTTGTTTTTTGTTTTTTTGAGATGGAGTCTTGCTCTGTCATCCAGAGTGCAGTGGCAAAATCTTGGCTCACTACAAACTCGGTAGTCCTCCTGGGTTCAAGTGATTCTCCTGCCTCAGCCTCCCGAATAGCTGGGACTACAAGCGCCTGCCACCACACCCGTCTAATTTTTTTATATTTTTAGTAGAGATGGCGTTTCACCAAGTGATCCACCCACCTCCCATAGTGCTGGGATTATAGGCGTGAGCTACCGCGCCTGGTACTTAATTGTTTTTGTTTTGGTTTGGTTTGGTTTTTTGAGATAGGATCTTCCTCTGTCACCCAGACTGAAGGGCAGTGGTGCAATCACAGCTCACTGCAGCCTCAACCTCCTGGGCTCACGCAATCCTCCCACTTCAGCCTCCTGAGTAGCTGGGGCTACAGGCATGCACCACCATGCCCAGCTAATTTTTATATTTTTTGTAGAGACAAGGGTCTCATTATGTTGCCTAGGATGGTCTCAAACTCCTGGCCTCAAGTGATCCTCCCTCCTTAGCCTCCCAAAGCACTGAGATTACAGGCGTGAGCCACCAGACCTGGCCTCACTTAGACTTTTTATTCAGATGATCCTGATGGTTTTGAGAAACTTTGACACGTGAGCAAGGCTCTTGAGGATTACTAGCCATACACAGTAGTCCACCCTGATATGCAGTTTCCTTTGCCGTGGTTTCAGTTACCCTCAGTTACCTGAGGTCAGCCTCAGCCGCGGTCTGAAAATAGGTGAGCATAGTACAATAAGGTATTTTAATTGAGAGACCACATTCATGTAACTTTTATTATAATTGTCCTATTTTTTATTAGTTTATTATTATTAATACTTTTTTTTTTTTGGAGACAGAGTCTCGCCCTGTCACCCAGGCTGAAGTGCAGTGGCGCCATCTCAGCTCATTGCAACCTCCGCCTCCTGGGTTCAAGAGATTCTCCTGTCTCAGCCCCCCAAGTACCTGGGATTACAGGTGCCCGCCACCACGCCTGGCTAATTTTTGTATTTTTAGTAGAGACAGGGTTTCGCCATGATGGCCAGGCTGGTCTCAAACTCCTGACCTCAAGTGATCCACCCGCCTCAGCCTCCCAAAGTGCTGGGGTTACAGGT